ATGAATACTCCAGGAATTCGTTATCTCCTGGCTCTTCTGATGGCCGCCACAGCCGTTGCCTTGGCGAGCGACTGTTCGTCCTCTTGCACTTGCAAGTGGAAGCAGGGTAAAGAAACGGCTGAGTGTCGCCACAAAGGACTGCAGACTTTGCCTGCACACCTAGAACCATCGACACAGGTCATCGATCTGTCGTACAACAACATACAGAGACTCCCCAATCAGGCATTTCTGCAAGAGAAACTCACAAACTTACAGAAGATATATCTGATAAGTTGCAATATACAAGAAATAGCTAATGGAGCCTTTCAGGAACTAAGCAACTTGGTCGAAATCGACCTGAGCATGAACCTCCTAAAAAGAATCCCATCACAGGCCTTCAAACACACGCCTGAGCTGCGCGAACTCTACCTCCAAGGCAACTCTATCCAGCACATAGAATTAGGCTCTTTCAGCCACTTGCAGTCTCTGAAAAGCCTGGACCTCAGCAAATGCAACATCACCACGATAGCCGCTCGTGCGTTTGAACCTCTGAGAATGCTAGAGAAGTTGAAGCTCCATGCCAATAAGCTGACCACTCTGCAACCCCGTCTAGTGGAGAGCTTGCAGAACCTTCATTTAGTCACAGTGCATGAAAACCCCTGGATCTGCGACTGCCGGTTGAGGAAGCTGCGAGAGTGGCTGGTGGTGACCCGCGCGCCACACACGATTTCCCCCGTGTGTTCCTCTCCTCCTCGAGTTCAGGGCCAGAACTTCGACAGCATGGACGAAGATCAGCTTGCCTGTCCCCCCGAAATCCTCCCGACGGGGCGCAAGATCGAAAGTGTCGCAGGAGATAACGCCACCATTTGGTGTCCTGTAGGAGGTCTCCCTACTCCAGGTGTGACCTGGTACGTTCGTGACATAGCGGTGGAGAATGGCTCCATAGTAGGTGGAGCAGGTGCCCAGGGGTATATCCTGAATGAGGCCACTGAGGAGCGCGGGAGCCTGCTCGTAATAGCAGATGCCACCGTTCAGGATTCCGGCTTGAACATCCGATGCGTTGCGTCAAATGCTGCCGGCAGTGCATCTGCAACCTTTATTTTGACTGTCAGCAATCGGGTGTCCGGCCTCGCAGGGTTCTCGGCCGACAAAATTGCTGCAATATCATCTGTATTTGTAGTGGTTGTAGCCTTGCTTATAGGATTTTTTTCCTTGCTGGCTCGTCGCCGGAACTCCCACACGCCGGTTCCCATAAAAACCGTAACGGTCAACGGCGCCACCGAGTCTCGCATTGCTGATTTCCATTACACTCCTTCTGCGTACGTCGGGGGGATCGGTGGTGGCGCCCTCGGACAACCCCGACCTCCTTTGCGAAGCAGAACCCAACTCCGAAGTGGAGACCGCCGACGGATGCACGACGGACGAAGGGAGCCAACACTCCCTCTGCAGCAACACGCCCAGGTTGAACGGACACAGCCGCAGCCACACCGTGTCTCTCGACGGCGACTCGCACAAGGCGGTGACTTGTCCGTACGACTCGATGTGGGCGCCTGAAAGGGTGCACGCCATGCTGGACTCCGCAGCGCCCGAGCACGTCATGCACACCTCACTCCATGAGCCTCTCACGCCCAACTGCGACGCCCTTGTACAGCAACGGCTTCTCTCCTCGTCACAGCGTCACCTCAACAACCGCCTCTCGTACCTTCCAGACTTCGCGCCCGATTACTCCGAGCTGTATTCCTTCAGCCAAGTGGGCCCTGGCCAGACCTACACCTCGATGAGCGGCGTCCACGTGCCTCACTATGGAACCATCCCGCGCTCCATGAAGACGAGGTCCAGCGCCCCGGAGATCATCCCTGGGGACGGGACGCCGACGCTGACGCGGCACTCGAGGGCGTGGCACTATGGTTCGGAAGGGACGCCCCTCATGCCGCTCGAGCAGCGGGGGGGACCCGTGCCTCTGAACCCGCCCCGCCCCAACAGCGGCCAACACCTGCCTTCCATCGCAGCCTCTACAGAGCCACAGCAGCAAACTAAGTCGTATCACCGCACGAGACTCGCCGGACGAGGGTTACCAGGAGGGGGCGGACGTCTAGCACCCCCCCGGTGCCACGTGCAAGGACGTCATCCAAGTGGTTGAGGTGCCAGGCTAGACAGGCCGTACTGTGTAAGACAAAAAACTAACACGATGAATTTCTACTTAAGGTATTCGAAGCAAAACCTAAAGAAAGAAAAAGTAGTAGGAAGAAAAAAACTGCACAAATCTTCTCTCCAATGGTAGAGATAGCGTGAAAAAAGAATAAAAAAAAGACTACAGACCATGCATGTGTGCCACGGTCTCCCTCCTAGTGCAGGGGCCGCTCGTCATTCACCGCCGGCGCGAAGTGGGAATCCGACCAAACACAAAACCGACTAGCGAGATGGTGTAGTAGATTAACCGTAGGTTGTTTGCATCTCATTGCGTCGTGGTCGGCTAGATGAAGAGCGGCCTCCTAGTGGTCGAGTCAAGAGCTTCCAGTGGACTCAGAGGCTTTGTGAATGTCGGTGTATAGTGAACAGTGACTTTGAGTCTCATAAGATAATGTTTCAGTGAGCAACACAGTGTAATGTCGGCCTTATAGATACACATTCCAAAGACATGTATGTCTCTACATAACAGACTGAATATACTGAGTATGTGCGCACGCATACATAAACGCACAAATAAAGCACACATTCACAAAAACACACAACAACACAACACACACACACACTCAAACACACGGACATATATATGTGTGTGTGCGCGCACATACATCTAACACACACACGACCACACGCACAGATGTGTGTATGTGTATATATATATATATATATATATATATATATATATATATATATATATATATATTATATATATATATATATATATATATATATTATGTGTGTGTGAAAATCTATATCTATATCTATTTCTCTATATATCTATCTATCTATCTATCATATATTATATATATATATATATATATATATAACATATAAATATATATGTGTCTGTGTATGTATGTGTGTGCACGCGCGCATAGATATATACATTTATACATATATACGCACATATGTGTATGTGTGTGTGTGTTTAAACATCAATATGTACATAATTCTTTTAGTAAGGCCGAAACGGGCCATTATGGACATGAAGTACCTTCACTATAGAGTATTATAAGCTAATACATATATTTGTATTGTTTTAAAGGATATCCAGGCCTTGACAACATTACATATGACTGTCCCAAAGAGAGAAAAGCTTACATCAGAAGAAAAAGGAGAATTAATGTTTCCGGAATTCAAGAGGTGAAGCTTCCATCCCCAGAGGAAGAGAAGCTCCGGCTCCTGATGAAGAGCGAGAGTTATAGCCCTGTCGAGCACATTTATCAATTTTATGTGTACTTTAGTTGTAACCTTTCGGAAACTCGCGATAAATTCTGCTTTTCCCGAACGCTGGGATGAGCAACGTTTATCGGGCGACGTTCAAGTGGAAGGTTAACACGAATGCGAATCCTGGACTGGATGGAAGGTTCCTTTTTGTACATCCCACCTCATGAGACGCGAACAAGGACGTCCCGACTTCCTTTGTCATAGCAGCCTGGGGAACTTTAAAACAGGTCGAACGTGCCAGGATTACTGTCTGGTGTGTAAATAGAACTTCCCAAGAAGTGCATAGCGAACTTTCCTGTTGTCCTCTTTTTGGTATGAATGAAATATATCGTTTTCAAGTGATCGTTGAATTCTTTTTAAAACTTTTTCCACGAAGCGCTCGGTCAGCTTAAATGTGATAATGCATTTTTGAAAGTGTATAGGGTTTTATCCAAACCATTTTCTATGAAAAAGTAGTCAAAATATTTCTATTTGCCTTGATTGTGTAGAAGTAGTCTGTGAAGGTCACTGTACTTGTCAACATTAATCAGACTGAATTCTCTTTGTCCAGCTTATATCTGAGTGTTTCTCCTGGTCTGAGCTTCTCAGTTAAAGGGGATTGTTGTATTTTTCATGTTTTACAGTTTGGTGTGGATGGAAATAATGATACAGTTTGTATTCGTGTTGTCCGCAATGTTGTTGCGTTACTTTTTCCTGTTTTCCTTTCTTTGTATTCTTTATTTTTCTGTATTCCGAGGACCCTTGTAAAAGGTATTATAGTGGATAACTTTATTCAGATTTTTTTACAACTAAATTTCGTCTGTGAGCAAAAATAGACATAAATTTATTCCCCGGCGAAAAAAATATTCACTCCAGGTATAGAAGGAGCAAACATGCAGGAATGGAAAACAGCCTTCCTTATGAACATCCAAAACACTAGACCAAACAGCGGTACAAACATGCTTTTTCTCCACCAAGGACTCTCCGCCTTAAGATAGCGAACCTATTATGAGTGTGTAGGACCCTGATGTTCTTTCTTGTACCTATATCTAAAAGAAAACGCCAAAAACACGTTATCTAGAAGTAGATCTCTCTGTGTTCATCCCACAAGCCTCATGTCGCAAAGTCTTTTCTTTGTTATACCGCGAACGTGCAAATGGAGGGAACGAAGGGGGCTGGGGAAGAAGGGGGGGAGAGAGAGGGAGGAAGGGGAGGGAGGGGAAACGGCCCTCGGAAAGAGAGAAGGGAGAGAAAAGGGAGCGGTAAAGGTGTTGAAGCGGTGATCGATAGAGACATAGGCGGCATTGTGTGTGTGTGTGTGTGTGTGTGTGTGTGTGTGTGTGTGTGTGTGTGTGTGTGTGTGTGTGTCTGTGTGTGTATCTCTCAGTTATTACTTGTATAGGGGAACGTGTGCGCATGTGTTTGTGTGTGTATTTTAGAAAGAATGGGGGTCGCTAGGATGGGACTCATATTGCAGCAAGAATGAAAGTGAAAGAGAGAGGAGGGAGAGGGGGGGGGGGGGTAGAGGAGTGGGAGAAAAACAAATGGCTAAAGAAATAGGATGCAGTGAAAAGAGGCAGAAGGAAGACCGGATTAGGGTAGAGGAAGAGAGAAAGGGAGAAAATGAA